ATTTTTCTTGCATTTGTTATACATAACAAGTGCAAGGAAATGAAAGATTTATCGAAGGGAAAATCAAACGTGTTACAAAGTAAAAAATTATTAACGATCTCTCAGGATCGTCAGAGCGTAGGTTAACCATCCGAGGGATTAATTTAACGAAATTTCTTACTATTGAAAATTTTTCTTGCATTTGTTATACATAACAAGTGCAAGGAAATGAAAGATTTATTACGGGGAAAAATCAAGCGTGTCACAAAGTAAAAAATTATTAACGATCTCTCAGAATCGTAGAGCGTAGGTTAACCATCCGAGGGATTAATTTAACGAAATTTCTTACTATTGAAAATTTTTCTTGCATTTGTTATACATAACAAGTTCAAGGAAATGAAAGATTTATTACGGGGAAAAATCAAACGTTTCACAAAGTAAAAAATTATTAACGATCTCTCAGGATCGTCAGAGCGTAGGTTAACCATCCGAGGGATTAATTTAATAACGAAATTTCTTGTCTATGTTCCCGCAGACTCGGGCTTCGTGATACTTCAAGGTACAACCTACTGGACCGACCTGTTTGTCAGGCACTTCCTCTTCCAGGCGGAGCACACGATCGACGGCGACGATCTACTTTTCTTCGTGCGTAAGAAACACGTGAAGACGTCGTCGAGATACTTGCCGAAGTTCGAGACGGAGGTGGACGTGTTCCGTAAGGACAGTAAGAAACTACCGATCGGCGATCCCGACATCGATTGGGAGGAAACCGTGTACCTGAACTTGGTCGTACATCAGTTCGACTACACGCTAACATTAGCGATCTGCACAAGGACGAGCCCCAAGGAATTGCAAGTGAGTCTTGTTGCCCGCTATTGTCCGCTTCTCGAAGTGAGCTTCGATCTTCGAGTTTTATTATCAATACTTTCTTCTTGTTATCAAAAAGTTTTGAAGAATCACGAAGGAATCGTCGCTGAACGATGCTTGAAAGACAGGGGAAAAAATCGCGGAGCTAATTCCATTTGCTCGTAGTTTTCTAACTGTCAGCGACTCGATTCGCTAATTTCATTCGTATACTCTGACGAAAAGATGATTTTTAGAATTCCTTGTCAGCGCAGAGAGAAACTCACTTGTTTGTTTTCGAACATTTATGGCTCAGGCAAACGACTTGCCTGTTTTTCTTCATGCCGATAAGAAATCCTAAACATTTAGTTTAACGCTCTAACGATGTTATTGTCTTTGGACAGATTTTCGTCTGTTGTTATGAATCTCGGTCGCTGACCCGCGAATCTGTTTTGGTCGTTATAGTTTTCAGAAACGGATCTCACACTCGACGTCTGTTTTTATCATTTTTTTTTTTTTTTTTTTTTTTTACGAACAGGCAATTAATACTTGAAAGTGATTAACTATAAAATATTCGGTGCTATCGTAAAGATTCTATCGTAAATATTTCATTAATCTCTTGGCACTGGTGCCGCTTTTAAAAAATGTATATCTAGATTATACTCGTCAAACACAGAGTATATGCAGCTGCTGTATAATTGAATTAAATTACAAAGAAATGACACTAGTTCTTTTTTTTGTAAACTTAATAGTTTTACTGTTTCGTTAAAATAATATTAATCAATAATAGAAAGGAAATATTTTGAAATGGTGTAAACAACAGAACTAGTCTCCAAATGTTTAAGATTTACAAATATATTTTGTTACCCATAAACAACGTATATCTTTCAATATTGTACAAAATTTTATTTTACTTAAGAGTTAATACAGTTTTACTTTATAATATAATTTAACAATAAGCACACTAAATGTCAATATATTTAACTAGAGTATAAATTATATTATAATAAGCTAAACTATTTTTACTAGATGGCAATGTTTATTAAATTTGAAAAAAAAAAACGACATTACTTATAAACACCTTTAATACTTTTCTCGCATGACTTGTCATCACCCAAAAACTTGTCACCTCTTCACGACGAGTATACTCGTGGTTAACAGCCAAGGTGTTGTGTAAATTCCATTTAATCGAGTAATTAAAAGAGGAAGCGACAAACTTGCCGTGAGAGCTGATCCTTCGACAATCTATCGTACAAAATTGGAGTCGTGTATCGACCGCGTGTAATAACTAATGAACAAATGTTTCAGGTATTGCGGAGACACTCGCAGAAGGTTTACGCAAGCCCAAGCCGGCGGCGAATGGACGCCAAGGGTGACCTCGAAGAGATGACGTACCCGCATATATGTTTCATGGTGGACAATTTCGACGAAGTTTTCTGTGATATTTTAGTCAGGGATGGGGAGATGGTGTGCGTGGAATTGGTCGCGTCCGACAGAGAGGGCGCCATTCAAGGTGTCATTTTCCTCGGGTCTATCAGATACGACGCCCTGAAGAAAGTGTACGACGCGAGAGTACGTTTCATCAGTCAACGTTCGACGTGTTATTTTTTTAATAACGATTTAATGTCTTCATCTTCGCTTTCAGTCGAGCCTGAGTACCAAGATGGCACAACGCATGACTTTTGGCCTGTTTTCCGGCGCGGCCTCCCAGCGGATAGAATTCGTTCGAATGAAGGGACCCCGCGGTACGATTATCACATTATCAAACGATTTCGATCGATCACTCGCTTCCTCTTTTGCGAGGAAAGAACTTTAATTCCTTCTTTCGCTCGAGCACGTTCGTCGTCGATTTTCAGGCAAAGGACACGCGGAAATGGCTGTGACGAAGCCGAAGGGTTCAGGCGCGGAGACACCGACCTCAGAGCCTGGCTATTGCGCCACGGATTCCCTGTGGGACGCCGACTGGGACGACGCCGAGGAGTTATTCATGTATCGGCATCAACGAAGACTGTCCGACCCCAGCGCCAATCTGAACAATTTCGTCCGCGGTGGCTGGAGGACGAAACCGGATACAGCTGCGACAAAAGCCAGGTCGGAGAACGAGGGTCTGGACTCGATGGCGAACGGACTGAACGAAATCGAAGCCGGAGACGTCCGAGACGGTAACTAGAAATTGTTATCACACACACGCGCGCGCACACACACACGCACACACACACACACACACACACATCGGTGATACGGTGATTCCGTTGAAATTCGACGAAGTCGCGGACGAAGAACACTTTACTTCTGTACTTTATCTTCGCCTTCTCTCTGTTTCTCATGCCTGTGTCCTTCAGACTTTCTCGACTTGTGTGCATGCCTCTTTGTGTTACATGTCTGTGTATTCTGCACATCGATTCACGATTACATTTCCAGGGATCTATTGGTTTGATTTTTGTTCTCCGCGCCGCGTTCGAGCATTTAGTTTCAGCAACTTGCGCGGCACTTCTCTTTAGCTGACTCTCGGAGCATTCATGGTATTATTTGTGATACGAAAGATGTTCCTTCGAGATCGTGTACGTGACGTTTGAGGCATTTTCATCCCCATGATTACTGACTTTTTTCTGTTTTTTTTTTCTTTCTTTCTTTCTTTCTTTCTTTCTTTCGTCGCCGGCGAGACGCGAAGCTCGAGATCGGTTCGGAAGAACCTGGTTGATCGGTGCTCTTGTATTCCCTCAGACCATCCAATGCCACGAGACGCAGTGTTTCGTTACGTTTTGCGACGACGATCGTTCGGAGAAACGAACGGAGATAAAATACGTGAGGAAAAAATACGGCTGTGTAGAGCACCACCACCAACACCATCACGCGCGAATATCTCGTACGCTAGTCACGAAAGTGGAGTTTGTACCAGTTGAAACAAAATAGAACCAATAAAGATACCAGAAACAAAACAAAAAAAAAAAAAA